AAACATAATTCCAATAATCCAAATCTCGAAATTTGAAATTTGTCAGCTTACAAATTATAATGGGTAAAGTTAAAAATAATAAGTTGCGCAAGTACAGGAAAGATTGGGAGCAGAATTCATGGGCAAAAGGTAATAAAACTCATATTATTATTRATTYATTATATGATTCATTATTCAAATAAATTTAGGATGGTTGTCTGAAGCTGACCCACTAGCAAACAAAGTAAATGAAAGTTACTGTAAAGTTTGCAAATCGTACTTAAGGGCACACTTGACCGATTTAAAAAAACATAGCACTACCAAAGTGCATGTGGAAAATATGAAAATGATCAAGCCGTCTTCAAACCAGAGTAAATTAAATAATATAATAATTGTTACAAACGAAYAAAAAGAGTTAGATTTAAAACTTGCTGTTTATGTAGCCACTCACAGTTCAATTAGGAGTATGGACCATTTGTGTGAAATACTCAAGTTAATRGGAAATAATTCTTTGTTAACTAATTTAAAGCTCCATCGTACAAAGTGTTCAAGTTTAATTAAAAACGTTTTAGGGCCTTCACTATTGGAAGATTTAGTTAAAGATTGTAATACTGGCCCATTTTCACTCATTGTCGACGAATCAACTGATATTTCTGTTGTAAAATATTTATGCCTGTGTATAAAATATTTTAGTATTAAGGATMAATGTATAAAAATTGAATTCTTAGGATTAGTCGAAGTMGATAGCTGCACAGCTGACTTATTGTTTCAACATTTATGCAAATATAYCAAAAATATAGRCCTTGATATTAACCAATTAATTGGAATTGGCACGGATGGAGCTAGCAATCTCTGTGGGAAAAATCATTCGCTGTTTGCTCTTCTGAAAAAAAATAATCCAAATTTACAAATCGTTCGATGTATTTGTCATTCGTTAAATAATGCAATTTCAAAAGCTAGTGATCAATTTCCTAGCCATATTGATTATATATGTCGTGAAGTTTATAATTGGTTCCACATTAGTCCACTCCGAAGAGCCGAGTACAAAAGAACATTTGACCTGATTAATTCTGGTCCAAATAATAAAAAATTTCACAATTTTCATCAGTTATCAGCTACTCGTTGGTTAGCTCGTTCGAATGTTGTTAATAACATTGTAGAACATTGGTTGGAGTTGAAAATACATTTTTCACTAGTGGTAAAAAAAGAAAAGTGTTATGTTGCTAGAGTTTTAAATCAGATGTTGAATGATGATGTAAATTACTTATATTTGTTAATAATTAAACCAATTCTATATGAAGTCAATCATTTAAATATAACATTCCAAAAAAGTTTTGTCGATATTGGAAGATCTTATGATGACATAAGTTCCTTATTTTTATTTCTTGC